GCTGCTCAACGGCGAACGCCTTACGCTCGAACCCAACGCGCTCCTGTGAGTATTTGTTTATTCTAACGCGATGGCATGCTGATTCAAAATGCAGGATGAACGATCCGAAGGTTGCAGAGTTCGCGCCCGCTGAGGCGGCGAAGCTCACGGTGAACCAGATCCACCTCAAGCAGGCGTGGGACACGGCGCAGATCAACGCGCGGCAGGACTGGATCGACTGGATCCACCGGCTCGGGGTCGAGTTTATCAAGGAGTCGCCGTCGCATGCGCTGCGGGCGTGCATGAGCCTCGTCGAGACGCAATCGCCGCTCGCGAAGGAGCTCTTCAATGCCGCGTTCTTGTCTTGCTGGACCGAGCTGTACGAGCAGTATCAGGTGCGTTCCAGCTCACTTGTTTGCGGTTCGCGTTCTAAAGTTGAGTTTAGGACCATCTCGTACGCTCGATCGAAATCGCGCTCACGTCACCTATTACGCCGTCCGAGGTCATCCGGCGACTGCTCGACCTCTGTGAGTTCATGGAGCACGAAGAGAAGCCGCTCCCGATCGAGCACAGTACGCTCGGCGAGTACTCGATCAAGTTCCTCGCGTACGCGAAGGCGCTGCACTACAAGGAGCTCGAGTTCTTCGGCAATGCGTCACCCGCGATCCTCGAGTCGCTCATCTCGATCAACACGCGGCTGCAGCAGCACGACGCCGCCTGGGGCGCGTTGCTGACCGCGCGCGAGCAGTACGACGTCACGAATACGGAAGAGTGGTACGAGCGGCTCGGGCGCTGGCAAGAGGCACTCGTGGTGTACGACGAGAAGGCGGAGGCGGATCCGGGGTCGACGGAGATCCAGATCGGGCGCATGCGCTGCTTGCATGCACTGGGAGAATGGGAGCAGCTGGCGTCGGAGGTGGACGAGCGCTGGCCGCACGCGAACCACGAGGACCGGCGGGCCATTGCGCCGATGGCGGCGGCGGCGGCGTGGTCGCTCAGCGAGTGGGACTCGATGGACAACTACATCGCAACCATGCGCTCGGACTCGCCGGATCGCTTCTTCTATCGAGCGATTCTTTCCGTTCACCATAATCAGTTCCCCAAGGCGTTGACGCATATCTCGAAAGCGCGGGAGTTGTTGCACCCGGAGTTGACGGCGTTTGGCGGTGCGGGCTATGCGCGGTCGTACAAGTGCGTTTTCTATCGTATTGTTTGTTTGCGGATAAACTGACTGGCTTTGGTTCAGTGTGATGGTTCGCGCGCAGATGTTGTCCGAGTTGGAGGAGGTCATCGTGTACAAACAATACGCTGACCAGCCCGAGAGGCAACAGATGATGCGGAACACTTGGATGAAGCGGTATGTTGTTTGTTTTTTGTTCTCGTTGCAGTGGTTGATATACAACTTAGGCTGCAAGGATGTCAGCCGGACGTCGAAGTCTGGCAGCGTATACTTCAAGTCCGAACCCTCATCATCAACCCCGAAGACGACCCTATCGCGTTCATTAAATTTGCGAACCTTTGTCGCAAGTCGGACCGCATGGGGCTCGCGGAGAAGACGATCAATTCATTGCTTACTCCTGACAGGGCACGTCTTTAACTGCTCCACAAAACATTCGAACTCACGCTCGTATAGCTCCAACACTTGCGCGAGTACCACCACACGAAGGCTCCGCCGAACGTGGTCTACGCTCAGCTCAAGTATATGTGGGCGCAAGGCGCCAAGGAAGGGAGCCTCACCGAACTCCGACAATTCACGATCAGTCTCGCGAAGGACCTGCAGGCCGAGTCCCTCGACCACGCGCAGCGGGCGGGGCTTCCCAAGCAACGACTGAATCAGCTCTCGAAACTACTGGCGCGGTGCTATTTCAAGCAGGGCGAATGGCAAGTTGCGCTCGACGAGAATTGGTACCGTGTACGTTCAAGTTCTCGTCTGTTATGACCATAATCGCTCATAGTTTCGCAGGATGACGGCGGGAAAGACGTCCTTAAATCGTACTCACTGGCCACGACCTTCGACGAGGGTTGGTACAAGGCTTGGCATACGTGGGCCATGGCAAACTTCAACATCGTCAGCCAAATCGACACGCAGGCGGAAGGCCGGAGCAGGGACATTTCTGGCGAGCAGCTGGCTTCGCATGTTGTCCAGTCCATCGAGGGTTTGACGCTAACTTTTTTGTTCCTTCAATGTGAGCTGATTCGTTTTCGACAGGCTTCTTCAGATCCATTTCTCTCCGGGACGAAGACGCGCTCCAAGACACGCTTCGGTTGTTGACGCTGTGGTTTAAATACGGCGCACACGACGAGATATCACACGCCATTGCGTCGGGTTTCTCCATGGTCAAGATCGATACATGGCTGCCGGTCATTCCACAAGTGCGTATTTTTTTCCCGCTGTTTATCATTCGTAACTCATGTCGTAGATCATCGCCCGTATCCAAACCCCTCACGCGAGCATCCGACGAAATATCAACAATCTACTAACCGAAGTCGGCAAAAGCCATCCGCAGGCCTTGATCTATCCTCTGACCGTCGGATCCAAATCACCGAGCGAGTCGCGCAAAAATGCAGCGCTCGCCATCATGGATCGGATGCGCGAGCACAGCGCGACCATCGTCGAACAGGTGCGCCGTTCTTATTGCATCCGATGCATTTCACTCATTGGCCCGTCCAGGCACGGATCGTCAGTCGCGAGTTGATCCGAGTCGCAATTTTGTGGCACGAGTTATGGCATGAAGGCCTGGAGGAGGCATCGCGACTGTACTACACCGTGCGCAACCCCGCTGGCATGCTTGCCGTGCTGGAGCCCCTCCACGAAATGCTCGAAGCGGTGAGTATCACTATTTTGTATTCGGCAACAATGGTAACTGACTTTAGTCCAGGGCCCACAAACCGTCCGAGAAACTTCGTTCAATCAGGTATTCGGGACGGAGCTGCGCCATGCACGAGAAGCTTGCAGGCGGTATCGTCAGTTTGGGGAGACGCGAGAGCTGGATAACGCGTGGGGCATTTACTTCGCGGTACGTTATTTCACGACGGTGGTTTGGTTCACTAATTTTACATCCGTTTCCAGGTCTTCCAGAAAATTGAAAAGCAGTTACCGCAGCTTACTGCGTTGGATCTGCAATATGTCTCGCCGGAACTACTCAACGTTCGGAACCTCGACCTTGCGGTTCCAGGTAATAATTATTTCCGTTGTCTTAGAACCCGTCTCACAGTTCACCGTAGGCACATATCAAAGCGGCCGCGAGGTCATATATATCGCGAATTTCGCTCCGCGGTTAACTGTCGTCTCGTCGAAGCAGCGTCCGCGTCGTATGGCATTGAAGGGAAGCGACGGGCGGGATTACCAGTACCTTCTGAAAGGTAACGTCATGATGGTTTTATTACCGCGATGCTAAGCAATAGACAGGCCACGAGGATCTTCGTCAGGACGAGCGGGTGATGCAGCTGTTCAGCCTTGTCAACACGCTGCTTTCCGTCGATACGAACAGCTTCAAGCGCCAGTTGCACATCCAGCGATTTCCCGTCATTCCATTAGCGCCTAACGTCGGTCTAATCGGTATAATCCAAGAGAGCGATACGTTGCACGAGCTGGTCAGGGACTACCGACACTCTATCAAGCTGCTTCTCAACATCGAGTATCGGCTGATGCTCCAGGTGAGCATTGTGACGTCTTCGTCATTCGCGGTAACCTAAGGCCTTTTAGATGGCACCGGATTACGAAAACCTTCCGCTGCTGCAGAAGATCGAGGTCTTCGAATACGCGATGGAGAATACCTCGGGGCAGGATCTATACAAGATCCTGTGGCTGAAAAGTACGAATTCGGAGCACTGGCTCGAGCGCCGCGCGTCGTACACTCGTTCGCTCGCTGTCAACAGCATGGTCGGGCATATCCTCGGGCTCGGTGATCGCCACCCGTCAAATATCATGCTCGAGCGGAAAACGGGCAAGGTCGTGCACATTGACTTTGGCGACTGCTTCGAAGTTGCGATGCACCGTGATAAGTTCCCGGAGAAGGTTCCGTTCAGGCTCACGCGTATGCTTACCCATGCGATGGAGGTGCGCAATTTGGATGTATTCGGCCTAAACCGCGTTGAAATCTTTTCTTTTCAGGTCAGCGGAATCGAGGGTTCGTTCCGGAAGACGTGCGAGATTTCGATGCAGGTGCTCCGGGACAACAAGGAGTCCCTGATGGCCGTCCTCGAGGCTTTCGTGTACGATCCCCTCATCAACTGGAGATTGATGCAAGCGGACGTTGACGTGCGGCAGGGGGAAGGTTAGTCGCGTCGCGGAGGATATAATTCAAACTTAAACTAATGCATGGCTCTAGAATCCGACCCGGCGGACCGCCCCGCGGACCTTGCATGGGTTGCCGCGCGCCCGCAAGGTGTACCGCGGCCCTTGCGGGCGAACGAGAACGACATTTTCAACGGCACGTATTTGTTGTCTTGATATATGTACGCCTGCTCACGTCTTTGTAGACGCGGGCGGGGAAACCGGTGTCCAGGAGGTCCGCAATAAACAAGCGTTGCTCGTGTACAACCGTGTACAGCACAAGCTTACCGGTCAGTTCATGTTGTTGGGAGTACTTGTGTGGTCTGTTAAACCGTAAACGCTTTCTAGGCCGTGACTTCGACATAGACATCACGTTGTCGGTGGAGGAGCAGGTGGACAAGCTGATTCGGCAGTCCATGGCGTTGGAAAATCTCTGCCAGTGTTTCGCTGGCTGGTACGTCTGTTCCCTCCACCGTTGCTTGTTCAACGATTGATTCTCGTTTGTAGGTGTGCGTTTTGGTAGTTATGAGGACTCTATTATTGTTTCTCTTCGTTCGTGGAATTCGAGCAATGTAGATACACCAGGTCCGGCAATGGAAGTCGTTTCTTCTCACAAATCCGAGCTCGCGGATGACGGCTGTGCTCGGAATGTATTTCGACGTCCATTGGCTACGTCTAGCTCCCCGAAAAGTGTTAAGCAGAGAACTCGGAGAAAATGATGTTAAAAAGTGGGAGCAAAAATACATGGCCATCGTGGGGGTCGAACCCAAGACCTTCGCGTAGCAGCAGATGATAATCAGCGTATTAGCACGACGCTCTAACCAACTGAGCTAGACGGCCGATAATATTAGTCCTGTATAGAGCATTAGATCGCAGAAAGAAGAAGCAAAGTCACCGAACTACGAGTGATGGCAAATTTATTATCTTTCCCCATTCAACCTTGGATCACGATGGATATGCACGTACATGTACCCGTTGTATACCCGATTATCGTGGACGCCCCTCGGAGACCGGTAACCCTATTCCATTTCGAGCTAGCTGATCGTGGAACCGGTCCGAACCACTCGCGCTCATCCTCAAATCCTCCTGAGCGTCAAACGTGTACAAGGGACATCCTGAAACCTACCTGACGTCTACGCGGTCCGTCTTTGTGTGTGGATTTCCGAATGCAGATAAAACAAGAGAGGAGTGTCAGACGCTCAAGGTCCAAGAGGCAGAAGCAAATATTCTCTTGTTGGCGATCGAAAACGATTCTTTTATGCGATCGGCCCATCTTGTCTCTTTGACCTTGTTATCCGAGACTCAATACAGACGAAACAGGGGAGTGGAAACAAATACCAGTTCTTTTATTTACGATCGTCGACGGGAATGCATGAAGGTCACGCATTCCACACATACCTTGTCTGTCTGACCTCCTCTCTTCGGCTTGGACCAGTGGATACGATCGGGCTTTGGCCATGGCTGGGTTCGCGCTGCGCTTTTAAATTCAGGGAAACTCTAGACAGGGGTATCCTACTCGAGCCCTCGACTTCACCCGGCTACCCAAATCAACGACGACGAAAGGCGACCAAGAATTATATCGTATTACCTGAACTCCGCCCACCCGCAAATACACATCCCTCGCGCCCCGTACACGCTCACGCACGGCGTCGTCCATCAGCAAAGCGCCTTCACTTCACGAATGCGCCGCCGCGTGCCACAGATACCGTACGACCCGACACAGGAGTCTAAGTCCATCATGGCGCGCGAGCAGCCACTGCACCGCTCCGTCGTGTTCGACTACCCCGGGCAGACGGGGCAGGGCGTCTCGCTGCGGAATTTGCGTCTCAACCCTGACATACCGATCCTGGGCGGTAATGATATGGTGTTCGACAACACGGGCATGCAGAGCATTGTGCTCCGTATCCAGGTGGGCACCATTGCGTCTGTTGGGAATTGAGATTAACGAGAATATATTTTAGTGGCCCGGCTACGAAAAGGTCGAATGGTGCTGCAACATCGTCATCCGCGACATCACTCGCATGGCCCTGGGTATCGAGATCGCGACTAACTTTGCGAATTTCTGCGCGGTATTTCTATTCCGCGTCCATTCCGTTAGTTTCTCACCTGTCATCGATGTAGAAAATTCAGGACGAGTCGCCGTCAATGTCGGACTGGGTGATAGCCCCAAGTTGTATTCGGTTCGAACATCTGTACTTGTTGTCGTTGGATAACATTTTCCCGGAGGTCTGGCAGGCGGATATTGAGGTCGACCTCTGATCTCGCATTTCTTTTGATCTTAACCGCACACGTTGTTGGAAACACTGCCTTCGGGCATCTCGGACAATCCGCCATGTACATACCTGTGCTGTGTAGAATATCATAGCATCAGTGAGATTGTTGTAGAACAGTGTAGAATATATTTATGACTCGGAATCTGACTCACAGGCTGTCCACTCGTAGTATTTAAGCAGCTGTATTTCGTACTATGAATCTAACTTATTTTTGATTATCACTACTACCTGCGTGAAGTTGGACGCTCACCCCGTCCACACTACTTACTCAATCTACCTGCGCCAACAGGTTATGGGCCCCGAGCCTTTAACTTACTTCACGTAGATTTATTTGAGAACACTTTTATAACACTCGGCATACACCGGAGATTATTCTACGCCCTCTACTAGTCGTTTATCTCTATCCGTCAAATTTTTACGAATCATGGCACCTGAATCCTCTCATCGAATTGAACTACTCAACGACGACAACTACCTTGCTTGGAAACGTCGCGTCACTGCAGTACTCCGTGACAAAGATCTACTCGAGTTTGTAGATGGCACGGAAGCGATGCCCATTGCGAAAGATCCAGCTGCCCCAACTGCCGACGAAACGAAGGCAATTAAAGCATGGATTAAATCGGATGGGAAGGCCCAAAGCCAAATTGAACTGGCTCTGGGAGATACCCAGATGGTGCATATATCGGGCGCAACGACTGCCGCTGAAATGTGGAGTCAGATTCGGATGGTTAAGGAGTCTCAAGGAACATTGGGACGTATGTCTTACAGGCGTCGATTTGTACCGCACAATTGCAGGATGAAGGGACTAATATTACCGAGCACATCAAAGAGATGCGTACAATAAAGGATCATCTTATTGCCATGGGCGACGAGTTGAAGGACGAAGATTTTATCATTGCATTGATAACGTCCCTCCCAGAAAATTGGGATCAATTCACCTCGTCTCATATGGCCTCGAAGAACCTGAGTCAGAAGGTTGCTACATTTGTACAATCTAGTACCGGTAGTCCCTTGCCTGTCTCCATGCAGCCGCTCATGACTTCGATTGAATTAATTTCATTGATTCTTGATGAAGACCGCCGCCGCAAGGAGAAAGCTAATGAATCCGCGGGAGGATCATCAGCAATGTTCTCGCGCAATAAAGAGAACAGTTCCAACGAGACTTGCTTCAACTGTAAGAAGCCCGGCCACCGTGCAACCGATTGTTTCGCCAAAGGAGGTGGAAAGGAGGGCCAATATCCGAAGCATTGGAACAAGAAGTCCAAAGGAAAGGACAAGAAAGGTAAGCATGCAGCAAATGTCAGTGCTAATGAGTCCCAGAGTGATAATAGCCAACATTTTTCGTTTGCGGGGAAATCCCACTTCGATCCGCGTCTCCCTCGAGACTCGTGGTTGGCTGATTCGGGATGCACAACTCACATTGCAAACAATCTCAATTTATTCCGGAATTATACGCCGATTGAAGGCGAGACAATCACAGGACTTGCGGACAATAAAGTGAAGGCACTGGGCAAAGGCACAGTGGTTCTTGAAACCTCGAAAGATGGTCAGTTGATTACAACTACGCTCCAAGACACTTTGTACGCACCTGAGGCTGTCAACAACCTATTTTCGATCTCCCGTGTCGATGATGCGGGAGGTAGCGCAAATTTTGCGAATGGAAAGGTTGAAATCTGGGATAAAAATGGTCATGTTGCTCTCCAGGGGGAGAAGAGATACCGGCTTTATTGGCTTGATGCGAAAGCAAAGCTTGAAGCTAACCAGGGGAATGTTGCGGACTCGAAGGGTTCGAATGAAGACATAAATTCCTGGGAGTCCTGGCATAAGCGCTACTGGACATGTATCTAAATCAACATTGGAGTTGCTTGTCAGAAAGGGAAGTGTGGATGGACTCATAATTACTCCCGACAGCACACCACTTGGCCAGTGCGAGACTTGCATCAAGTCCAAGATGCATCGCAAACCTTTTCCGAAGAAATCCACCAACCGGTCCGACACCCGTGGCGAAGGCATTCACAGTGACCTCTGGGGTCCAGCCCAAACAAAATCAACCGAAGGAAATTACTATTATATTTCTTTTGTTGATGATGCGACTCACCGATTCACGATCCTGTTCTTGCGGACAAAGGATCAGGCTAAACAGAAGGTTCTGGACCATATTGAATGGTTGGAACGGCAGTACAACTGCAAGCCTAAGTGGATCCGAGTTGATGAGGGGCGTGAGTACCTAAATTCGGAGTTGAAAACGGCACTTGCTAAAAAGGGCATTGAAATTCGTGCTGTTGCTCCTTATTCGCAATCACAGAATGGTGTGGCAGAACGCCTAAATCGGACCATTGTGGAACTGGAAAGAGCCATGTTGGAAGAAAAGATCTTCCGAGAAGCCTATGGGAATGGGCAGTCCTTCACGCCGTTTATATTCGGAATCGGACACCCACGAAGGCTTTGCCAGATGGAACTACACCCCATGAGGCGTTTACAGGCGAGAAGCCTAATGTTGCTCACTTCCAAGAATTTGGAACAGATGTCTGGATCTATCAAGAGGTTCAGAAAGCAGGTAAATTGTATGGACATGCTAACAAATTTATATTTGTAGGTTATGCAGAAGGCCCAAAAGCGATCCGATATTACGATACAAAAACTCACAGAGTGAAAGTATCCCGGAATTTTAAGTTCACAGAACCCGACAAGAAGGTAACTGAGATGAAATTCTTTGAACTTGATTCGGAGGAACGACAGCTTGAGGGGGAGTCAGGGAATAGCAAGCCACCGTTCCAACAAGCTCCAAAACCAGAATTTCCTAATGCTCCATCAACACCGCAAAGCGCAACTCCTGCACCGAAACCCTCATCAGAATCAAGTTCTGATAGCGATGAGGATGACTTACCAGATCCGCTGCAAACAGCAGCTCCATCTACTCCAGCCCGTCCCACAAATCAACTGAGAACTTCAGCCTCTACTCCGAAACTCCCAACTGTTTATGACGATAAACCAAATCGTCTCAATGCTACGCCGATCCGAAAGTTGACACGTACCATCACTGATATAAATTATCGGACACTCGGGAACCCAGATTCACGGGGAGACAAGGCTGCAAGGCCTAACCGAGGTAGCAACGATGCCAATACGGCATCCGAGGATATTGATCACGCTGAAGTAGCGGCTTCGCATTATGCGTACCGTGCATCAGTAGGTGATCTTGCAACAGGGAATTCGAACATACCACAAAGTGTGCATGAAGCACGCGAGTCCCCGAATTGGCCAGAATGGGAAAATGCAATGAATACCGAACTTGAAACGTTGCGACACATGGGAACTTGGCAGCTGGAAGATTGCCCCAAGGACCGAAAACCCGTTGGATTTAAATGGGTGTTTGACTTGAAAACTGACCAGCAAGGGCAGATTGTCAAATATAAGGCCAGACTCGTTGCGAAGGGATACTCACAAATTCCCGGTATGGATTATTTCGACACATTTTCTCCTGTTGTTCGCCTAGAATCACTCCGATCCCTGCTAGCCATCGCCGCCGTCAACAATCTTGAAATGAAGCAACTTGATGTGAAAGGT